AATATTTCCTCACCTCGCATCATTTTAACCTGAGCTTGAGAAAGTTCGTATTGTTGACCTATCTGTATAGCTTTGGTAAGGGTAATGTCTTGACCTTGATCAAGTAAACGTTCTTGTACCTTTTTGTGTTTAACACCAGCGATGATCAGGTCTATCAACACATCATTACTGTCTGTGTATTCGCAATCCATTGCCAATAACTTCAGGTCTTTGACAAAATTATCAAATGTCTCAGATTCAGTTTGTTTTCTTTGATGGAGTTTGTAACGAGCAATTCGTTTGTTTTTCTTGGGTCTGATGTAAACATCTAGTTTGTCCAATATTTTAACAGGATCATCTGTATCATGATCATTTTCCCATGTGAAGGTCTTATATATCTCCCTACCTTCTTGTCCTATCCACATTCCGATCCATCCTGCCTTGTCAGCATTTTCGGCCTTGGCGAGCGGGCCTTTGAAACAGAACGCCACGTGCTGTCGGAATCGGAGAAATTCCTGGTACTGATCGCCGGCTCCCCAATCCAGACGTGGTTGGTCAAATGGCGGAGCAGACATGGTTGGTTCAGATCAACGTTTCTGACACCATGTAACGTTTACAGACTGCGTTTAGCAGTAATAATTGAAGAGAATCCAGAGACACTGGAAACGTGTTTCAAGCCGCCATGTTTATTCAAGAACCTTCTAAGTTACAGAGACGCTTGAAGCGTAAAATTATCAAGGGGAACAACTCTTGATGCCTTGGAGGCTTATGCATACATTACACACACCAAGGCATGAGGGCAAGTGTCACACTACTTATTGTCAAATACACCACTAGTAACAGGTATCTGTTCACTTTGGAGTAAATCGCTCCTCCAAGAATGGATCTTAGCACACGAAGTATGACGTCATAAAGGTGGAACCCTTTTCTAGATCTGTGCGAGAAATGTAGAGAATGTCCAGAAAGGCCGTACCCGCTTGAGCTCTGCTCAATCCCTGGTGAAAGAAAAACAGTATGCTTTATCTCTGTTATATTTGCTTTACAAAGCATGCAGTATTCCCTAATTAATCAATTTTATTTGTGATATTCATCATCATGACTTATTTACTTACATTCAAAATCATCTGTTTATCATTCAATTGCTTGTTCGCTTTAAAAACGGCGGGGTAAGTTCGTTGTATCCAAGACCAGGTAAGATGAAGCAGACAATACATTGGATTTGTTAAGTGCTATACATAAAATATCCCCATATAGAATGTCTAGAAAATGACTGCGAACAGATAAATAAGACGAGGAGAGGGAATCAGGCCTTAAATAAAGCAAGAGTAACGTCAACTATCTCCAGATCTTTTAAACCTAGCGGAGGCGGTGGTAACATATGTGATATCGGCGTAGATTTCAAGACCAGACGATAGGAACCATGCTTGTCTATATAACTTTTCGGAGGCATCGTTATTTTTATGTTAAAAACAATTAAATCTATCCTGTAAATATAAAGTACATTGTTCAAGATATCGTTTAGGTCATGCTTGCGTCGAATGATACTTTCTTATCATCATTAAACAATGGTTGCTCATATTGCGGAATTTTAAAGTTATTCAGGGTTTTATGATTTTATAGATTGGGTGAAATGTTACATTCTTTTGGTTGTATTTTGTAACTATCCAAAAACTATCGATATATGGAAGCTCTCGTAGGTTAGGAAGCCAGTTTCAAAACAACATAATTTTAGAGAAATAATATTAACCAAAGACTATCAAGTACTTTCAAGAAAATCTTAAGTTTGGATCTGAAGAGGGGTAATTAAGCCTTTCCGTGTGAACAAATGTGATATCCCGTCATATACGCGAGTTTAAAGATAAAGACCTCTAGTTGTACACGACTATCGCAAATTAGAGTCAAATCTATTCTATCAAGTCGAATATGTTTATTAGATGCCTGATATTAAACCCTCTCTTTTCTCGCTTAGCCCATTTTTCAAAATGATTGATATATATAAAGAAAATAAAAACATCAAAGTAGATATTTTTGCTCAA